AGAGGTTTAAAGGGTTTTTGCCAGAGGACACTGAAAATTGTTTTGTCATCCTGTGGGGACGAGTTTGTTCAGCTCTAGCATTTTAGAAAGAAGTTGTGTCAGCATGTTTTCTGTTAAAAGATCAGATATTGTCAGATATTTTTCAAACTCTCAAACACGTGTATATAGTCCTTAAAATTTACTATATCTTGTACGAAGTGCCAAACTGGAGTTCTTGAATTGTCATTTGAAGCTGCCTTCAGAAAAACGATTCTGTCAGAGTTTTAAGCCTGAGATTTGTTTTTTTCCAAGTTTCTTCCTTACAGACCACAACTGTGTAGGTAAGAATAATGTTATATAATATATATAAGAATAATGCATCTTAGGGGAATGACTGTTTTTAATGGCTTTTTTATCACAGTGTTGTGCAAAGTGATGCAAATGCATCAGCTGTTCCAAGTTCTCCAGTAAGGAGTTTTGTTTTTACTAGCCTAAATTAGCATCACAGTAAGTTCAAATAAAATGCAGTAAATTAAAGATGCAATTTGCTAATTAAGCTGTCTAAACTGTGCTAAGATTATCTGATAAATCTCCAGCTCTACCCTCTCAGTCAAATATGGACATGCATACCTAAAAAAAAACAACAACCCAAAAACAAATATGGAGATGGGGGGGAAATGCTAAACCTGCGCTTTCATCATTCTCCACAAACCAACAATGGACTGATGGCTGCATCCATCATTTATATACAGTCAATGGTCTAAATATGTGAAAACTATCAAGTCAAAGAAACAAAGTTTAAACTTGAAATCTGCTTTTAAAAAACCTCTGCGTTAATATTTTTTTGAACGTCCCCCCACGTTATTCCTAAACATGGCATTAGAGATATTACAGACCATGTCTGCAGTAGAAAAGTATGACCATTTAAGTCAATGTAATATGACTGTAAATTAAGTACAACGATTTAGGTTTTTCTAAGAAAAGAATAGGACATAAATATATATTTAATGGTACACTGAGTAAAATTTCACCACTAGATAGCAGTAGATTGCAGTCACGTGAATTCTGTTCTGCCAATTCAAGTAGGTAATCCCAGCTGCACCTGCAGTGAGTCTACGCTGTCA